ACAGAGAGTTTCCAGTTGTCTCTCTTTACAAAAGACCAAACGTTTCAAGTGGCTCCAGTGTGCTGTCTCAGAGCCATGTTTAAAAAGGATAAAAACCCATTGTTTTTTGCTTTCATGCAAAAGACAGTACTTTAAAAATTAGTGAGAGAGTTTGGTGTTTTTTGAAAAGAACTTATGCAATAAAGAGAACATTTTGAAAATGGGTGCAAATGTTAGTCCAAACCATTGTACTAGTTGGGGATAGGACTGAATATTGAGTATTTCTATTTAGAAATTACAGTCAATAACTTATTTTTCCATTTGGGTCTGCAGATCATAATGAAGTATCCTGTTTGGCAAGGACAGTAATAAATCCAAGATATAAGTAAACTAAACTTAGGGCCATTTTTGACTCATTGGGTTAATAAACTGAGATTTTAAAAGAGAACCATATTTAAACTATGCTCACTAAAAATCCTACAATTGATCTTTTTTTGCTGAAAGCAAAAGATTTTTTGTATTATTAAAAAATAAGAGAATAACATTTTAAAACATTTCATCTTTATCTTATCAAAATTTCAGTGATAGTACTCTACATACTCTAACAATATAGCGGAAAAGGCATCAACTTTATAAATTAAGAAATATGCCTAAAAATATACACAGGGGGAGGGTTTGTGTGCAAATAATTTCATTAGTGAGATTAAGTATGGCAAGATTTTGTAGTCCAGCGACTGTTGATAACTGATGTCCCCATGTCATTCCCTGGTGTAATGCTTGAAGTCGTCTGGACCAATTTTATGAGTGGATCTCAAGTATATTTGGTGTCCAGGTTTTATCTGGGGAGCTCTGCATTTTTAGCTGAAAGAAACTGGTTTGCTAACAGTAATGCACCTAAGTTTTACCAGACACTTACTGCATGCGTGGAACAAAGCAGGGCATACACTCTCCTCTTATTTCATGACCACAAAAATATGCAGTGGGGACTGTTGTTTTGCAAACGAGGAGACTCTGACTTTGAGAGTGAAGTGATTAGTGTAGGACTACACAGATCTGTGGATGAGTCAAACCCAGGACTTAGAACTTCAAGTCCAGGATCCTTCCCTGCACCCGATACCACAGACAATTAGGGGTGCAGAGTTGGAGCCCACAGGGTGGCTCTGGCACTTACTGAGTTACTTAACTTCTTGGTTCCTCCACTTCCTTATCTGTATAATGGGTCTAAAAGTAACAATACCTGTCTTAACAGAATCATTGAGATTTCATGATGCTTAAATGAACACGTGGTAAGCACTCAGTAAATGTTGGTTATATTATCATCAAATCTCATCCTATTTCCTATTGTCCCAAATTCTGCTTTCTATTTAGATGATTCCTTTTGAGAGCAAGGATGGTGTCTGATTTCTTTTCCTCTCCTTACCCCCTTTCCTTGCTTACTTCCACTACCAAGCACAGTGCCTTTCTCAGACACAATGCTCCAATGTTTATTAATAATGATTTCAGTTCCTCTGAACTTTTCAATCAGTAAATATTTATTGATCACCACTGTGGCAGAGCCCACCTGCCGCTGTGTTGAAGTCTTTCATCTTCTGTGTTGTCTAATTTAATGCTCACCATCACTCTAAATTGTAAGACGTGTCACATCTTTTCTAGCGTGAAAGAAACCGAGGCCTAGCCAAAGTAAGGGACAGAGGTCACACAGCTATCTGGCGACTCAGGTATTCTGACTTAGAGTCTGTGCCTTTTCCACCCCAGTGTGGAGGTGAATGTTCCCTCTGACATGGTCAGCTCAAGAGGTTGTCCTTTCTTAGAGTGATGCAAGTCCAATTTCCAGCCCACTTTTTGGGCACCTGAAAACTTTTAATTCATTGAGGAAACTGCGCAAATAGAAACCTTGTTACTTTTCTAAAAAATTTTTATTATTTATTTATTTATACAAGCACTGAGATCAGTCAGAAGCGCGGGAGGGTGAGAGAATTCACCAGAGTCAGAGCGGAGAGCAGAGCAGGCAGAAGGACCGAAGTACACTGCTGAGGGGAGCAGCGGGCGCGGCAGGGGAGGTCTGCGCGCCTTGTGGGACCCTCACTTGCGGCCTGGGGATCGAACCGGTGCTGCAGAGGCTACGGGCAGCTTCGCAACCCAGCGCTCAACTGCTGCGCCACCGGGGAGGCCCAACCTTGTTACTTCTTAAAGAAATATTTTAATTAATTTATTTGGCACATTAGAGATCACATGCCATTTGGTAAGCATTTCATTATCATTAAGGGGTAACTAATGTATAATTAATTGTAGGGATTACACACACAACTAATTTGATGACTTTTAATTTTGCTTAGATTGAAATATACAGAATCACATAAATCATAATTAGAGTTGTGCTAATAAAGATTTCACTTATGCCTGAGTTGGTAGGAAGTGCCGTGGAAACCACCTGCCTTTTCCTCTGGATACGTCCATTCCCTCAGCTCTTGCTTGCTGTGAGGACAAGGCCAATTGCAGTCTCAGAGTTGGGTCAGAGACCTCCTTGGTCACCTCTGTTGACTTTTTCCAAAATAGAGTTTCTTAGGGACTGAAATTCTTTTTTTTTTTTTTTATAGAGGCATGTTTTATTCATTTATTTGTTTGTTTTGTTTATACAAGCACTGGGTACAGTCAGAAGCATGGGAGAGTGAGAGAATTCACCAGAGCCAGAGCGGGGAGCAGAGCAGGCAGAAGGACCGAAGTACACTGCTGAGGGGAGCAGCGGGCGGCAGGAGAGGTCTGCGCGCCATGTGGGACCCTCCTCCAGTGGCCGCGGAGCAGCTGGGGATCCAACCGGCGCCGCAGAGGTCGCGGGCAGCTTCGCAACCCAGCGCTCAACCACTGCGCCACAGGGGAGGCCCAGGGACTGAAATTCTTTCCCATTGGATAGCTTTTGATATAGCCTCACTCCTGGATCAACTAATTAATACTTGAAAAGAATCAGAACTTTGAAGGAATTTCTAATGGCTCCTGGATTCAGAATGGTAGTTTGTAAGAGTAGTCCCCAGTTTAGAGATCCCCAAGCTTTGATGTTATTTATGGGGCTCAGTCTTGCCTCTGGTATCCTTTCTAAGTTCACCAAAGGGAGTTACAATTCTGGTTATCTCTGAAACATGGGAGTGCCAACTGTCCTGCTTTCCAGTACCTTCCACCTTCAACATTCCCACAAAAGTGATTCTTTCATGAATATCAACCATTCACCTCAACTGGCTGCCCTCGATAGCTGCCTCTATTTTCAACTTCTTCCCACCCAGCTTTTCAAATAGCTGATCTATGCTTGTTGCTTGATAGACTAGTCAGCAGCCTCTCTTATGCTCCATGGCTGCCGCCTCTGCTTTCTCAAAAGGCGCAATCTGCCAGTCTGTCCCAAGAGCCAGTCTGTCCCAAGAGCATCTGCATTCGGGATGCTCCTCTGGCTTCACAGTAGAACTGCCCTCTGCCCTAAGCAGCAGAAATAACAAAATGTTCCCGATTACAGCATGCAATTTGGTGATGAAGGGGATCATGAAAATTTACTACCACCCCCTGCCCAAGTTCCCATCCTCGTCTCCAAAAATGAGGCGGGAAACATACCCCTTCGCCCACTGCTTATGTCTGGACCAAGAGCAGCAGTTCCTGACTATCAGGGGAAAGACTGGGCAGAGCTCTCCAGTGGCCCTCCTGTGATGGGGCTGCGCCCTGTGACTCGCCCTCAGGCAGCTGCAGGCAAGAGAAGCCTGGAGGGCCTCAGATGCCTGCCTGCCCTTTCCTTTGTCTGGGCGCTACCTGTCTGTTTAGATTAGAAAGCTACGAGGCATGTCTACTTCCATGCTCTGCGTAGCACCCACCAATTGTGGAGCTTACAGAACGTGGATGATTGATGATGGTGTTAATCTGAGTAATAACAGGCATTTCAGGCACCATCTCAAGGAAACTTCTCAGCACTTGTTAATGGCTGCGGGTGTCCTGCACAGGAGGAAGCAATCCAACTAATGGCAACTGCAGGTGCTGCTACCTGTATGGTGCAGCTCAGGATGCCCCTCCCTTTAAAAAACTAACCACAAGACAATCAAGTAAATACACCCTCACATGTGCTGCAGGATTAATAGCAACACAAGTTGTGTGTCAGCTGGTGGAGACTTTATTTTTTTAAAAAATTTATATTTATGCATACAAGAAATGGGGTATAGACCAGAGGTGTGGGGGGTGAGAGGATGCACCAGAGACAGTGGGGAACAGAACAGGCAGACTGACTGAAATACACTGCTGAGGGAAGCAGCTGCACCATGTAAGTTGCTCCCTGGCCAGGAATCCAACTTGTGCTGCGGTGGCTGGCAAGAGCTTGATAGTGCTGTCTTTAAATCCTGTGCCACGAGGGAGGCCCCTGGTGGAAACTTTAAGTCAAAGGGAGCAAGACATTTTTTTGTATGAGAATGGCAAAACAATGCTTACTTATTGAGAGCTTGCTAGTATGTTAGTATGTCATCTCAAATTGGACATAATATCCCTGTTTTGGAGATGAGGAAATAGCTTCTGAGAGGTCAGTGACTTGCCCATGTAACACAGTATTATGGAATAAATGTCTGTGTCCCTGGACATGCTGACTGACCCTCCTTACCTGACTCAAATATAGCACAGTGATGTGGAATTGGAGCTCTCTGTCTGGGAAGAGGCTAAACATATATAAGAGGACACCCACTAGCAGTCTCTACAAGAAAATGATTTCACAGAATCGAGGACAGAGTGCTGGGCTGCCCCTTTCATGAAGCCCAGGAGCCAGTGTTGTGGTTTTGATGCGTTTTTTTAATATAGTAAATGGATATATATGTGACTACTACTCAGCTGTGGAAGAAAAGATGAACTCTTGCCATTTGTGACAACATGATGGAACTGGAGGGGATTATGCTACATGACATAAATCAGAAGAAAGAAAGAAAAAGATACAGGATGATTTCAGTTATATGTAGAATACAGAAAAAGAAAGAAAACAAAGGAACTGACAAATATAAACCAATACAAACCTTAGAAATATGAGTGCAGAATTGAGGCTGCTGGGCTGGTGGTTGAAGGGCTGTCTTGAAAGGGGTTGGGAACAGCTGGGAGGAGGCCCAGTGCTCTATGGTGCTTTGGTGGTGAGGGTGGTGTGACATACATCTGAGGTATGAACTTACACCCCTAAATCACATACAGTGTTGTAAACCGATGTTACCTAAAAAAAGAAAAAACATTGGTCTTTGTCCCTGGTTCCTAAAACCCTTGTAACTTCCAGATAGTAGCCCCTTGTGTTATTCATAAGGGGCCCCTTTGGCAGGTACCTGAGTGTAGGGTAAAGAAAATGTCAGGCTTTTCTGCCCTTCCGCCATCAGGATAGATGATGGATCCTTGTCCTGAATGCATGCCTGATGGCGGGCACCTGGAATAGGGTGTGGGCATAGGTACATGGGATTCAGCTGAGCTAAGACTGCTTTTAAGGGCGGCATCACGGGGACGCCAGCAGCAGCAGTAGAAGCCGAAGCCGTAGCCGAAAGAGAAGCCGAGAAGCAGCAGAACCAACGCCAGAAAGCCCAGATAGAGTAAAGACTTGCTGGGGGCTGGGAGGCCTGCCAGCCCCCCAGCCAGCACCCCTGCCTGCCATATGCCTGGTGAACCCCAATAAAAAACCTGCAAAACCACTGAGGACTCTGACTCCTCCTTTACCCAGTCTGCATGGGATCAGAGAACCTGTACTGTGCCCGTTCCTGCCTTTACAATTGGCGTAAGTCAGCAAGATCCATGCAGACGGGTATTGGAGCCCTCCGAAGACCTGGAGGGACTAAGGAGAACGGACTGTTTGCCTGTGATGACGCTGGAGGCGCCATGGTGGCACAGAAGGTGGACAACGTCCACGAGCTACAGGACGAGACTTGGCATGAAGGAGACGCCCGAGAGAACCAGACAATGACACCCGAAAAGACTGGCCAACGACCCCTGAGGCAGCAGAATCGTCGGGGAGGAGAGGACCACGATTCATCGCTCTCCGGTGCTGATGCAGGGAGAGGCCAATGGACTTCAACTGCTGGACATGGACTGATAAACTTGGACTGACAATCCCGCCAGAAGGCAGAGGACCTTGGCAAGTTATGTTTTTTTTTTTTTTTTGAGAATCTGGGGGTGGCCAGTGGGCCTAGATGGCCAAAAGCAGCCTGTTATGCCCAGCAGCCAGGTGGAGGAGAAAAGCCAACTGAGAAGGCAAAAGCTGGTGCTGATGCTAATTTGAGAAGCCCTAAGCGGTTGTTAAGCAGCCTGGGTATGCTGAAGCCCTGTGAGTCTCGTAAAATCACCTGTGGGTGATGCCCTGCTCATTCTTGAGTGAGGGTGAGGAGCTGAGGAACCTGTCCTTGGGGGACGGGTGGGGAATGTGGCTTGGGGTGGAGCCCAAGCCTAATGCAGAGTTTGGATCCCCGACCCATGTGCTTGTGCAGTGGGTTGGCCTGAGTGCAGGGGTCTGCGAGTCGCATGGGTGGCTATGAAGGCCGAGTGTTGGAGCGACCACAGACAGAAACCCTGAGGGTTGGCGATTACCCCCAACAGAATAGAATCACCAATCCCAGAGCGAGTGCATCCTGGGGGTGGATGCTGTGTGTGGCTTGTAGCCGAGACTACAGCCAGAGAAGACCAGGAAGCCCGACGGCTCCTGGTGTGTTACAGTAGATGCCGTGAGTGATTCCCCTCCCTCGTATGAGCAGTGCCTTTGGCAGCAGATTTGGTGGCTCATCTGCTGGTACCAATAATTGTCTTTTGCACTAGGTTGGTGCCCTGCCTGGACTTATTTGTGTTCTGTTGTATTTTGTTATATTGTATTTTGTTATATTTGATGTATTTGCTTTTGTGGGCCATGGCTGCATTGTTTGTTTGCTTAGAAAATTGTATATATATGTATAGACTGTATGGCAGAAAACCCTGAGGGGGTGGACTGTAGGGTAAAGAAAATGTCAGGCTTTTCTGCCCTTCTGCCATCAGGATAGATGGTGGATCCTTGTCCTGAATGCATGCCTGATGGCGGGCACCTGGAATAGGGTGTGGGCATAGGTACATGGGATTCAGCTGAGCTAAGACTCTGCTTTTAAGGGCAGCATCACGGGGACGCCAGCAGCAGCAGCAGAAGCCGAAGCCGTAGCCGAAAGAGAAGCCGAGAAGCAGCAGAACCAATGCCAGAAAGCCCAGATAGAGTAAAGACTTGCTGGGGGCTGGGAGGCCTGCCAGCCTGCCAGCCCCCCAGCCAGCACCCCTGCCTGCCATATGCCTGGTGAACCCCAATAAAAAACCTGCAAAACCACTGAGGACTCTGACTCCTCCTTTACCCAGTCTGCATGGGATCAGAAAACCTGCTCTGTGTCCGGTCCTGCCTTTACACTGAGTTTAGGCTTATGAGGGGCTGGTTGTCCGAGGAATCAACTATTTGATTAGAGGCTTGGAATTTTTAGTCCCCCACGCTTCCACTGGAGAGTTCTAATAACCAATGGCCAATGATTTAATCAACCATGACTAAGTAATGAATTGTCCATCCAGATCCCCAAATGACAGGGTTTGAAGAGCTCCTGGGTTAGAGAACACGTGGAGGTACCGGGAGGGTGGCAATCCCTGAGAGAGCATGGAACCTTGCAGTCTCTCCCCATGACTTGCCCCAAGTATCTCTTCCACTTGGTTGCTCCTGTTTGTATCTTTTGTGATAAAACTATAATTGTAAGTAAAGTGTTTTCCTGAGTCCTTTGGGCCGGAGCCCTTCAACTTACGGACACCGGCTCCAGGCAGTTTGTGTCAGACTGGAACGGAGTGATAGGTCGCCTAGTTGGTGTCAGAACTGGGCAGTTGGTCTGTGTCAGAAGACACCTAAGACTATATTTTCTGTCCTGGTCTGGGAAGTGTTCAATTTGGGTTTCTTCCTTCTTGAGTAATCTAACTCCATCTAGAAGATGCCACCTCAGGAGAGAGGCTGGGGGTCTCTGCTCAGCCTGGCCTGGGGTTGTGACGGGCCGCTAGATGATCAAACAGGGGACAATGGTTGGGCTATTGTGTGTCACACTCACCCTGACCAGCCTTGTGGAGACAACAGGGTGAGAGCTGTTACCAAAAGTCAGATGCTGTATTTCTGCCTGTGAAGCTCAGCGAGACCATGAGCCCCGAAAAATATATTGTTTTGTGATGTCACCTCTGGAATGTTCTGAGTGTTTTGGTGACCAACTTCTGCATAGGAGCTATACTTGGCACCTCACACTGGTATGGTTTTTGGCTTCAGATAGAAATAATAACATTAGAAAAGCAATGAGGTACAGGTATCTGCTTCAAAGGCTTTGGAAAGGCTTTTGTATCACATATAATACCTGCCTTAATTTCTGTGCAGAGAGTGATAAAAGCATCCTATCAGATATCTACACATTCTTTTAGACTCATTCTCATAATGTGTACAGTTGTGAAGAGGGGATAAATGAGTAGAAAGTCCTTTGTTTTTCAGGTGAGCAAATGAGGCCCGTGGGAAGCAGAAGTTTTCTTTCTTTTTTATTTTAAAGTTTTTTTTTTTAATTAAAGATTTATTTATACAAGCACTGCGTACAGTCAGAAGCGTGGGAGAGTGAGAGAATTCACCAGAGCCAGAGCGGGGAGCAGAGCAGGCAGAAGGACCGAAGTACACTGCTGAGGGGAGCAGCGGGCGGCAGGAGAGGTCTGCGTGCCATGCGGGACCCTCCTCCGGTGGCCCAGGGGCAGCCGGGGATCGAACCGGTGCTGCAGAGGCTGTGGGCAGCTTCGCAACCCAGCACTCAACCACTGCGCCACCGGGGAAGCCCTCTTTTTTTTTTTTTTTAAAGATTTATTTACTTATGCATACAAGAACTGGGGTATAGACCAGAGGTATGGGGAGAGGATGAGAGGATTCACCAGAGACTGAGTGGGGAACAGAACAGGTGGATTGACTGAAATACACTGCTGAGGGGAACATAGGCGAGTCAGGAGAGGTCTGCTGCGCCATGTGGGTAGCTCCCTGGCTGGGGATTGACCTCATGCTGCAGTGGCTGCGGATAGCTTCATAGGTTGTGTCTTAACCCCTTGCACCACCAGGGAGGCCCAGAAATCTTATTTTCTTTCTTCCACAGCACTCAAGCCCACATTTTACAAGAAAAAGAGATACCAGAGCTGAAAACCTAGAAATTCCTATCAATGTGGTTCTACCTGAGGTAGGGACAATCACAGAAGGGTATATAACCTGTTAGCCAGAATAACCTCCCTCCTCTTTCAATACTCTGGCAAGATGTAAAATGAGCAGAATCATCAGGGCCTCTGATTCTAGTTGTGGATCAGCCTCCTGTATCCAGGGGAGGCCACTTAACCACTCTGGCTCTTGACTTCCTGGTTCCTTGAATCGGGGCAGGTGGGTTAGGCAATCTTATAAGAACTTCCTACCCTAATGTTTGAAATTTCTATGGCTGAAATAAGCCAGTCTTCTCAAAATTTGTTCTTTTGGTGCTTGCTATTGTTAAACCACTCAGAATTTCTGGGGGCGAGTTAGAACTGGAATCAAATGATTATGACAGAATCCATGAGTAGAAACCAATTATGTGGACCAGTGGGTATAGGCATCAAGAGAATCAAGGCCTTCTATATACCAAAAATAGAGAGTAAGAGAGATCAACAGGAGGCATTCAGGATGAAGACCAGTGAATGATGGTCTGGGCTGCCTTGAGATCCTCAGGTTTCTCACTAAGCAGCCCTTCCCTTAGTAGGGCCACCTGATTGGGTGTTTCCATTGCTGCTATGTCACAAAGGGGGCAGCCTTGCATCTCCAGAGTCACCCAAAGCCCTGTTGGAAGACCATGGCAGTGCAACCAGAGGGGCTGAAATGTAGGGTGGAGGAGTCCAGTGCAGAGGTAACTGTCTAAAACTGTCTAGGGATTGCCAGTGGGATCATATATTCTATATACACACATACGCGCGTGCATGTGTGTGTGTGTGTGTGTGTGTGTATATATATATATATATATATTTCTAAAGTCATCCCTTAAGTATTTTCAGAACAAGATCAGAAAACCTTCCATGTTCTTTCTATAGCTAGTGGAAATTAGAACAATCTGGACAAAAAATCAGCAGGAGGGAAAAAAAGAGGAGCAAAGCCCACTCTGGATATTCGTTTCCACATTATCTTTGTAACTGTGATGGACAGCACGTCTCTGTTTCAGCTCATGAAACTTTGTCAGGATATAAGCTAGCTTTCTCCTGATCACTACACATGATGACTTGCCTGCGGGGTTCCTATAGCTGTAGGACTTATTTTAACTCTGATTTTTTCCCCACTTGAAATGGATCTGTAGTTCTGTTGCTGCTACTTCCCTGAGGGTGAGTGTTTCTCCTTGCTTTCTTCACAGCCCATATCATTCTGCAGAAGGGACAGGAAGATGGTGTCAACCTGGAGGTGGGTTGGGGGTGGGGAAGGGACTCAATAGAGTGGTGGTGTGATAGAGAGATTGCAACAGTGGTCCATATATGCTAGCATAGCTCTCCGGCCAGCTCCTAGAAGATGATCTTGGTTGTGCCACCACCAGGGCTGTGAGTGAGACTGATGTGCTCACTGGACCTCCCTAAATGAGATGGTGCATGGCTGCGGGGAAGGATTGATCTGTTTAACAAGGGGAGAAAGGCATATTGACCGAGCATTGATTGATCATGTGATGGGTACTGAGCCATGTAAGTGTGAGGTAGAGATTATTTGGGTTGGGGAATTGGAACCCCAGGAACCCCATTAGCAATGGCAGAGTTAGAATTAGGGGCAAGAACCCAGGTCAGTATCTACTTTCTCCAGTATGCCACCAGGCTGGGCCAAGCCACATCCTAGCTCTCTACTTCTCTTGCTTTTGGGAGAGAGTCCCTCCTCTCCCCCCATCTCAGCTGCTTGCCCCTGAGCTCTGTGCATGCATCTGCCACATGCTGTTTTATTCTGGGGTAAAGGCCATTCATTTTAGAAGGGAATTGTGGCAGCTGCTCTCAGTCTCCAGAAAGTGCCTCTGGCCTCCCAGCTCCCAATCATGTGGGGCATTTTGGCTTCTCAATTACAGTGCAAATGCCTGTGGTTTGCTATTTGTTATCACCCTAGGTCTTTTCAAGTCTTATTGATTTCCAGTTTTTCTTCCTCACATTAAATATTTGTGTTTTCTGATCTATTTCCCTCCAGTGCTTAACTTGCAAGCCATCAATGTTATTTTCTGCTCAAGCTAGCTGACCTATGATTCTTTTTGTACATAAGGATTCAGTTCTCACAGGCATTCCCCGATGACTTGTGAATTTCATGAAGGCCTTGTTTACTGCTAGATCATTAACGAAGGAGCTTCACAAGATCAGAATAAGCTCTGATAGCAACCTCCAGTGCGCCCCTCATCCCACCCATTGCGTTTTACTTAATCTCCTTTGTTTAGACCTGTTCTTTATATAAGTTATGGAATCGAGCATACCATATCTCTGCCAATTTTTGTAACTGGTAGGAGGAAGATTTCAGGAGAGTCTGTGTTGAACAATTAGCTAAAACTATCACATAATGACATTTTATATTCTTTGCTGTTAATGTTGTATTTTTATCAAACATCATATTGACCTGTGAATTATCCTTTTACCTGTGAATTATCCTTTTACCTGTTAGCATACAAAACCAACACTGACTTTATCAATTAACCAGGGAACTGAGTTAATTTAAAAATCTGATAATGAGAAGCAGCTGTGTCACCTGCAGATTTGTAGTATATCTGACTCTTCCAGGAGCCTAGGGTCTCTTACTTGAAAAATACCTCAGATGGTGAAATAATCTCTGATAGTAATAATCTTCAGTTATATTGACAAAATAGATGTTTAAGAACTTAGTCAACTAGCATGAACTTTACTGGAGGCATTTGGATATCTTTTCTGATCTGCAATAACTGCACTTTTCCAGGAGTGAAGTGCTTCAGTGCTTATCAGTTAAGCCTGGCTGATCACTATCCAGTTTTTCCCCCAAACCCTTTAGGTAGGAGGTCATCAACCTCAAAAACTCCATCCCAGAAGGACCCACTCAGGGGATCCTGTTCCTCAGACATCACTTAGCATCAGTAAGAGATTTTGGTTTTATCATTCTCTTTTGCCCTCTCTCACCCCATCTCTTTACATGGACCACATGGGCAGGTGTTGTTGGCTTTGCTGTGACGATTGTATGGATTGTGATCTGCAACAACAGTTGGGAATAGTACCCTCTAGAGTTGGGCATTGTACAACCTGCAAAAACACAAGGAGTATCTCAATCATACTTGCTTCCATATTTTCTAGATATGGAAACTGAAGCAATGACATTGTCTCAGATATTGGACTTTGAAAAGGTCATGTACTCAAGCAGTGAAGAGTCAGCACTCTCTTCAGGTTTTACGATGTCCAGTCCTGTTCTCCCTGCCTTACTGCCTATGTCAATGTTTGCTGCATTTTGACCTCCCCTCATTTTTGCCAAGAATAATTGGTGCTAGTAATTGATTTTCTAAATTGACTGGAAGTTCCCTGAGGGCAGAATCTGAGACCATATGCCAAATCAATGTTAATTCATTGACATAAATGTGGAGGAAGAATTGGTGCAAGACCAATCAGAGTGAGGAGTTTTCACAAGCCAAAAAGAACTTTCCTTTGAGGACTAATCCAGCTAGGTCTGGTGAAAGAATTTGTGTTGGCTTAAAGTTTAATCATTATTCTTGGCATATCTTGAAATCCCTGGGTATTTAGTATATTTCCTTATGTCTTTTCACTTTCAAAAATAGAAAAGGTGCTGCTATACTTTAGTTTGGCCTTAATACTATAGGTATATTTTTCTAATATCCATTAAAACAAATATGTAACTACTAAAAGTTAAGAAATATTTAAATGTTCTATCTATGAGATGGCCATGAAGCAATGCTAGGCTCGGTTACTGCCTGTTTGGAGATAGCAGGAAAGCTAGTAGTCATAAGAGGAGGATTTGGCTTCCTGCTTAGGAAGCATGCAAAGGGGATTTATTAGGCCATCAACATTTTCCGGATTAGATGCTATAGGCAGGGAACAGAAAAGGGACAAGTTCTTCTTGGGAAGAGTTATCCATTTAAGGAAGGCAACAGGATGCCAACTAGGTTGGTAAAAGAGGGCTGCTGTGGCCATAGTGGTAATGATTTACCAACACAGGTCCATTGGACCAGAGAAAGTTAGACAAGGCATGTAGAAATGACACCATCAATCTTTAACTATTACAGAAATAGAAACTAAGGTCAAGGCTGAGAGGATGTGACTAAGGCCACCTGATAGTATGCATATGGACAAAGGCCCAGACACCCAGAATGTGCATAGCTACGTATCTGTCACCCACATGTAAAGTCTTTACTTAGTACATTTCTGTTGAGGCAACAGTTAAAGTTCCTTGGCTATCTAGTCCAGATTTGTGGATGTAGAATAATGGAAGTTGACTAGAAAGATATAAAGGTTGTTACTTTGTATGACAGGGTACTCTGAACAGATATAGAGTCCTAATGAGTCCACTTTGGATATTCAGTAGGATCAAGAAGAGTACTGAAATGAAACAATGGGGGAAATTTGAACACTGACTTGGTATTTGCTGATATTAGGGTATCATCTTTAAATTTTATTTTCTTTACATTTTAAAAGGATAGTTTTATTAGAAAAAGGAGAAAGAAAAAGAAAGGCACCTGTTTAGTCACAGATGGGCATGAGAACTGCCCATTGTTAGTTTTGAAGGGATGATTACAGTACTGTGGTTATATTAAAAGAATATACTTTGATGTATTTATGGATAAAATGACTCAATGTCTATACTTTGTTTTAAGATAATAACCCAGTGGTGGAGTGGTTGTAGAATTGGGTGGAAGTGAGATGAAACAAGTGTAGACTTGAATTGATGATTGCTAAAGCTGGGTTGATGGGTACATGGAACTTTATTAAACTATTCTTTCGTATTTCTATAAGTCTGAAATTTTTCATTGTAAAATGTTAAGGGAAAACTATTTTGACCCCTCGAGTATTGCAAGTTCTTTGATAAATTTTTGGTGATTCCCCTTGGTGCTTCACACATGAAATTTCAAGGAACCATTCCTGAGTATGTGAGTCAGTGAGTGAACCAGAGCTGGTTTTTTAGTATTTTTTTTTTTTTTGAGTTTGTTTCTTCATCTGTAAAGTGGGAATAATGCTAATACCTTATTAAGCCAAAGAATTGGAGGAATTTAGTAGGTAGAATCTTCAGCTTGGAGCCTAGCATAAAGCTGAGGCTCAATATTTCTTTCTTTCTTTCTTTTTTTTTTTTTTTAAAGATTTATTTATTTATACAAGCACTGGGTACAGTCAGAAGCGCGAGAAGGTGAGAGAATTCACCAGAGCCAGAGCGGAGAGCAGAGCAGGCAGATTGACGAAATACACTGCTGAGGGGAGCAGCGGGCGGCAGGAGAGGTCTGCATGCCATGTGGGACCCTCGGTCGGTGGCTGGGGATCGAACTGGCGCTGCAGAGGCTGCGGGCAGCTTCGCACCCCAGCACTCAACCGCTGCGCCACCAGGAAGGCCCTCAATATTTCTTTCTTCCCTTTCCTTCTCAAGACTGGGATACACACTGTTGACTAAAACCACAATTGCCTAGTAATATTTTGTACAGCAAGACTCTGTCAAGATAGAGGCCTACATTGATTTGGAGAGGACTCAGTGACTTTGAAGTCTTACACCTTTAGAAGACTTAGTCATTCCTTAGTGACTGTGGCTAATCTTTCCAGATTTCTGGATCAAGGGACCTTGAAACAGTGTGGGATATCCACAGTGAGCTTCATTCTGAACACAAGTCCATCCACAACAGCCAGTGTGCTTTCCCTACTGAGAACTGTGAAAACCGTGGAGGCTGGATTTACTTAACATAAATAAAGTTTCGATTGCAGAATGTCGTCATACTCTTGCTCTCCAGAAGATTAAGCACATCCTTAGAAAGTTAATGGCATGTGTTTATTGCTAAGTTAATGACAAAGAACTGTGCCTTTTATTTATTTAGCTCTTTGGTTCTTAAAGAATTCTAACCAACTTTATATACAATGTACAAATTATCCTCTCCATATATGCATGTATATAATGTAGATAAGCTGACTTGTTTGCTATTTTCTCTATGTGCAAAATTGTGAAAATAACCAAAGAAATGAGGAATTGCTGTTTGGAGAGCTTTGTGATGTAGCTGGATGAGATGCGTTGGTATATTTAGAAGGAACTGTCATGATCTTATTTTTATTTAAATTCATTGCTGCAATTGTTGCTTCTTCTCTAGAATACCTGTTCACTACTTTTGAATACATCTCCAAATTCTTCCATTTGTGAAATCTACTTTTCTTGATAACAATGCCTCACATTTCTGTGGCACTTGGCAATTTTAAAAATGCTTTTTGCAGTCATTATGTTATTCAGTCCTTGCAATTATGTTGTGAACTAAGAAGGCACATGTTATTATTTCCATTTTTCAGGTACATTTCATGGACTTGCAGTGTTTTGCAGTGTTGGAAGGCACTTTTAAGATTGTTGAGTCTGATTCCATTTTTTCTACTAGTGAAAAAGTACATGAGTGATTGAGCGTGGCCTTGGGTTTCACCCTGCCCCTCAGTGACAGACCAGGACAAGAATCCTATAGCCCCAGGGCCTTTACCTGTGACATTACCCCCACCAGGGCAAGCTGCCCTTTCTACCCGCCTTAGAACAGTCTTGACCACTTCCAGCAGGATCACCTGAGGGAACTGGTCAGAAATGCGGATTACTGACCCATGTCCTGGACAATGTGCCTCAGTCTTGCAGTCAGAGGCTTCACAATCTGTATTTAAAACTCAGATGATTCTTCTGGTCTAGGAAGTGTGAGAGCTACTAATGTGTTCGATTTAAGCTGTGTAGATATGACTCCCTTTTTGTATGGTGGTCTGGCAGCATCTAGCTACCATCAAGAATTCTTTATGAATTCCTCAGTGTCCTTTGCTGTCCTCATCACTAATGAACTCTCATTACTCAGCAATATGTCTGTCATGGTGCTCTTCCTTTCCAAAATTACCAGCCAGATTCTGTTTTGAATTTAGCACTGAGCTTTTGGATGTCCAGCAGGCTGCAGGAAGGACTGGGTGGCTAAAAGTGGAGATTGAGTCTGAATGGGCAGAAGAAAAGTCTGGGCTGGCCAACAGCACCAGCATTCTGGACAGTGCAAATTGGGCGGCTGTTGGAGTGATTCATGTTACCCCTACCCAGGCCAACTGTGGGCACACACCCATGCCCAGGGTAGCTTGAGAACAGCATTTATTCCTCCTCTAGGATGGCAGAGGTGTTCCAGAGTCCATGCTTAGTGCTTTCATATATTATCTCTTTTAATCCTAAAAATAGCTCTATGAGGCAAGGCAGTAGTTACGATGATCTTAGCTTTAAAATGTGGAAACTCAAGCTCAATTCTTGTAACTGATGAAGTAGTCGAGCCAGGACTCAAAATATTTGTTTGATTCCAAAACCAATGCCTTTCACCTCCATGATACAGAGTTCCTGTTATTCACGGATTCTGTATTTTTGAATTTGCTTACTCATTGAAAATTCTGGGAACCTTAAAATGAGCACCTGTGGTACTTCTTGGTGTTGAAAACTTTTGAGTCACCTGATACACATGTTCCCCAGCTGAGAGCATTCTTATTTAAGCCAATAGTGTCCTTTACATAGTTTTAATATAGTCCTTACATAGTTTTAATGCCATGTTTTTCATATTTGGGGGCTTTTTATTGATTTTACTGTCTAAGATGGTCTCCAAGTACTGTCTAGTATTTCTAAGCACAAGAAAGCAACGATGTGCCTTACAGAGCAAACACATGTTGCATAAGCTCTGTTTATACATGAGTTATAGTACCATTGCCCAAAAGTTCAATGTTAATGAGTCAACAATACCTATTAATTGAGGTGCCTTTCAACAGAAACACACATAAAACAAGGTTAGTATTGACTGGTTGAGGGAAATGTGACCAGATGCTGGCAGGAAACTCACCTTTATCTCCTAGGAGCATGGCTCAGCATTCACTAATTTGGTGTTTGCTTTGACTCTCTAGAGCAGACCTGCCATGAATAATGAGGATCAACTCTCTCTCCCTGTGAGGCCCCCAGGAAGCCAAGTGCAGCAGTCCCCACTGTGGCCAGGCCAGACTCTCAGACTGGGTTTTTTGTGTACTATCCTGCCCTCTTATCCGTCAGCCAGCCGGGGGTGTGCCAGTTCCTTTACTAACTCTGGGCCCCCCTTCTCTCCCACAGAGGGGCACAGCTGAGCCTTTTTTGAGGCTCCACAACTTGTACCCCACCCCGCGCTGCTCCAGGCAGGCCACCCTGCCCAGGCTGAGCCGCAGGGTGGTCAGCCAGCACTCCTACCCACTGAACCGCTTCTCCTCTGTGCCCTTGGACCCCATGGAGCGCCCCACCTCCCAGGTGGACCTGGAGCTGGATTACAACCCTCCCCGGGTTCAGCTCAGTGATGAGATGTTTGTCTTCCAAGATGGGCGCTGGGTGAATGAGAACTGCCGCCTGCAGTCTCCCTACTTTTCTCCTTCCTCCTCCTTCCACCACAAGCTGCATCACAAGAGGCTGGCCAAGGAATACCTGCTGCAGGAGGAGAACAAGTCTCTGCGGGAGGAGAACAAGTCCCTTCGGGAGGAGAATAAGACCCTCCGCAAGGAGAACAAGATCCTGCAGGTCTTCTGGGAGGAACACAAGGTAGCCCCGGGCCGGGAGGAGAGCAGGGCCTCCTCCCCGCTGCTACACAAGGACAACACGCCCCTGGAGGTGGTAAAGAAGGACAACACTGCTCTGCAAGTGCACCGCGGCAAGGAGAACAACACGCTTCAGCTCCTCAGGGAGGAGAACCGGGCCCTGCAGCAGCTGCTGGAACAGAGAAAGGCCTACTGGGCCCAGACAGATGAGAAGACAGCACCCGTGGAGGAAAATCAGTCAGCAGCTCTACCTCACGAGGAGCCCCATGGCCCCGGGCTGCTGCCTGACCAGGGCCCTGGCCTCTCCTTGCCCTTTGAGGACCCCAAGGGGCCCTCTACTGCGCAGGATGACTCCAAGACACTCCGAGCACTGCGTGAGATGGTCAACAACCTAAGTGGGTCTTCTGGGGAGGAAGAAAGCAAGGCAGGCCCAGGCCTGATTGACAACAGCCAGTCCTTGGAGCTGCTGAGAGAGATGAACCAGGCGCTACAGGCCCTGAGAGAGGAGAACCAGAGCCTGCAGCTCCTCCGCGAGGAGAACCGACTTCTGCAGGAGGAGAACAGGGCCCTGCATGTGCTGCGGGAGGAGCACAGGCTCTTCCAGGAGGAGAACAAGGCCCTGTGGGAGAACAACAAACTGAAGCTTCAGCAGAAGCTGGTCATTGACACCGTGACCGAGGTCACCGCACGCATGGAGATGCTCATCGAGGAGCTCTATGCCTTCATGCCGGCCAAGAACAAGGACCCCAAGAAACCCAGTAGGGTCTGAAGCCTCCAGGATGTACAACAGTATCAGCTTGGGGCACAGAACACTTGATAGAAGAAAATCTCCTGGTTCCATTTGTGTTCCTTGCCTTCACCCACCAGTTTGTGCCTGTTGAAGAGCAGAATTATTGGCCTTCCTAAGCTCAGAGAAGTAATAAAGGTGTGAGGAGGCTGGGGCCAGTTAACACCAGTGTGCTGTCCTGCTGTCTTTTTCTTTCTTTTTAGTATTTTTTTTTTTTTTTGAGCAGTTTTAGGTTAACAGCAAAATTGAGCAGGAAGAACCCCATAACCCCACCCCACCATCCCACCAGAGTGGTACATTTTTCAGTGAACATATGCTGATATCTCACAATCACTCGAAGTTGATGGTTTACATTAAGATTCTCTCTTGAGTGTTGCACATGCCCTAAAAAATCCTCCCTGCCCCCTAACCCCTGGCAACCACTGATCTTTTTACTGTCTCTGTGGTTTTGCATTTTTCCAAATGTCATCTAGCTGGAATCATAGAGTAGAGTATGTAGCTTTTTCAGATTGGCTTCTCTCACTTAACATGCATTTAAGATCTCTCCATGTCTTCTTATGACTTGACAGCTCATTTCCCTTTAAGATTGAATAATATTCCATTGTATGACTCTATCACAGCTCATTTATCCATTCACCCACTGAAGGAGACCTTGGCTATTTCCAAGCATTGGCAGTTGTGAATCTGGCTCTCCCGTGTTGTCCTAGTCTCTGCCTTACCTCAGCCTTCATTGTTGTATGTTTTCCTCTTTCATTGCCTCCCTTTCTCTCCTCTTTCTTGCTCTCTCTTCATCCTCAATTTCTGAGGCTGTGCTGTGACTGGTGGCCTGTGGGAAAAGTCATTCTAGGACCGGGCTTTTCAGCTGTGCAACTGTTAACATTTGAGGCTTGGATAGCTCTTTGTTGTGAGGGCTGTCCTCTGTCCAGTGTGTAGGATGTTGTTTGCCAGCATCCCTGGCCTGTCCCACTAGCTTCCAATAATAAGTCACCTGAACTCCAGCTGTGACCACCAAGTATGTCTCCAGACATTTCCCAATGTCCCCCAGGGAACAAAGTCCCCATAACGCACTCTAAACGCTCCTCTAGGTTTTTCAAATATATTCCTTGAAACACTAGTCCTTGAAATGCTCTGAGAAAATGAAGGGAGAGAGGGGGACTTGGGCATGCTCTCTGGCTTCATAGTCATACTCCACATTAAAGCATCTGAGAAGCACTACCATAAAGAAACTTGTTAACTTTGGTGAAACCAGAATTGCTCAATTTTTACTAGATTTGAACTTTCTTTTTATGTTCACTTGCTGATCACCCAGTTTGGGAAGAGTTGTTCTATGCTATCCCCAGCCCCACACTCACCTCCTGTCCCCCTCCCCTGCCAGGTTCCATCTGATTACTTGTGGTTTCCACTTCCCTGTTGGATACAAGAGGTGGGGTAGGTGCTACCCAGTTCACTGGAATGAGGTGGAGAGGCTCGAGTATTGGTGTTCCAGGCTCAATTCCCATTTCAAAGTTGGGTACACTTTAGACCTAAGAAATTGATAGTCTCAGGTAACTATAGGAGGGGTTTGGGCAGAAATTCCCAAACTTTGCTGTGTAGTGGAATCACCTTGGGTCTTTGAAAAACGTTGACACCTAGACTTCACTGTAGACAGTCTGATTAGATTGGTGTTGGGTATGACTGGATGTTAGGATGTTTAAAAGCTTCCCAGATAATTCTTATATAGAGAGAAGTTTAGGAATCACTGGGGTAGGGTGAGTGAAGCTGCCTGATGCTCAATATAATGCTCCATTCACTAGTAGTAGCTGAAGAGAGTAGGCGCATATGAGGGAAAGGATTATTCCCATTTTGCTCATGGGAGACATGATTGCTGGTAGAGACATGAGTTTAATACTGAAATAGTTTCACTCCTTGTCCATTGCCTGCTGACTGGGCTTCTGAGCCTTGCAAACACTCCAGGAGAGGAGCCAAAAACAGTGGCCCACACTGGCAAAGCTTTTTGCCCATCATTTTTCACTTGGCGTCACCCCCATGATCCTTGGTACTAGTGAACAGGCATTATCATTTTTTCCCCCTTTGAATGATTTTATTTATTTTAAAGATTTATTTATTTATGCATAGAACTGGGGTGTAGGCTAGAGGTATGGGGGGCGAGAGGATTCACCAAAGACAGAGTGGGGAGCAGAACAGGTGGATCTACTGAGGGGAGTAGCGGGTGAGACAGGAGAGGTCTGCTGCACCATGTGGGTCAGCTCCCTGGCTGGGGATCGAACTCAGGCCATGGCAGTGATAGCACTGAGATTTAACCCTCTATGCTAGAAACTGGAGCAGCAAATGATTTACCAGAGGTTAGCCAGCTAGTAAGCGAGTGCTAAACTGGGGGCTTGACTGCAGATCTAATGACTAAAGATCTCAAACTCATGACAGTGAGATCATACTGTCATATAAACCTGGTCTTGAAAAAATAAGATTAAAAATGGCTTTGAGTTTTATAGAAAACAGCATCAGATTGCAAGTGAGGGAGAATAGTGATAGGAATATTTTGTCTCACCAGCCAGTGACTACACATCTAATCTTCTGTACACCAGGGCAGAAGGAGACCGATGTACATGCAGAGTCTGAGCAATTATTCCCCCTACCGTACCAAAATCTGAAAAATGGAAGTTGTTGCTAATATCCCTCTGGCCCTTTACAATTTTTTCTTCTTGAATTTGGTAAATACATCATGCAGGGCATCGTGAAACACCATGCTTTGTTTAAGTCAATGTAATAACCCTAGGGTGTAGGGGTTTTTCTTTTTTTGATGAAACCAAATTGATTTCTGTGATTCTAGACAATTGGAAGACAAAAGGCACACGCTCCCCATGTTTGTGTTACAAATATTTAACTTGGATTAATCTCCAGAATAGCAGTTGGAGGTTTTCTTGCAAGCTGAGGGAATTAAGAGGACTTAATACTATTTAACAATGTCAACTGTCTCTGGCAGGCAGAATCTAAATGGGTGAAAAATTAGCAAGACAAGCCATAAAATGCCATTTTTATGGAGTGGGGGAGATTTACTTCAAGACAGTGTTTCATTGTATAGTGCAATCTGTCACAGATTAGCTGACATTCTAGTAGGCACTAACCTCTTGTAGAATAGAAATGAAATTTCATTCCTGAAGGAGAACTTCCTTTTAATATCTCTTCCTTTTTCAGTACTTTCCACATTCACCATCTGGTCAAACCTTAAGTCTTTATTCTAATGGCTAAGACTGTTTTCTCTTTCCAGGTAAGTGCTTGCTTCTAAGCTCATAAGACTTGTCTTCAGAGAGTTAAGCATACTACCTTATCCTCTCCCATTTGGCCCTGTTTGACTGACTGACTCTTAATTGCTGAAGTCAAGTATAGTCCTATTGACTTGACCAAATCCTGTCCATAGGCCTATCTGGTACCCCTACATTGAGGGTCTAAATCAAGAAGAGAAGGACATTAGCAACTGGCTAGTTATTGGAAACTAAAGTCCCTCAGAATTAGTTGAGGTAGGGAATTCCAGTAGGAAAATCACCCATGCAAGATCATCATCAGAGTTTAGCAGAGAATTTCAACAGTAGGATCTAGAATCAAAACAACTCTGAAAACAATCGTGTAGGCTTCTTTTTTTTTTTTTTAAAGATTTATTTATGCATACAAGAGCTGGGGTACAGGTCAGAGGTGTGGGGGGTGAGAGGATTCACCAGAGACAGAGTGGGGAACTGAACAGGCAGATTGACAGAAATACACCATGGAGGGGAGCAGCGGGCGAGTCAGGAGAGGTCTGCTGCGCCATGTGGGTAGCTCCCTGACCGGGGAGCGAACCTATGCTGCAGTTGCTGCGGATAGCTTCATAGGTTGCATCTTAACCCCTTGCACCACCGGGGAATCCCCATATGTAGGCTTCTTTTATGCTCAGATTTTATTCTTGAATTTTTCCCTTTTGTCAAACTTAGCATCAAATGAAGTGACTCCAATCTGCATGGAAGGAAAGCTCATTTTAGTGCTGTGTTGCTTTGGGCACATCTGAAGCAGCTGGGAGGGAAGGTACAAAGGGACAAGGTGTCTGATGGAGGAAGTCAGAGACCCGCTCACTTCAATAACCATCTGTTTATTGTCCTTGGAGTTGGATTCCTGATTCATCAGATGAGAATTGGCTTTTACAGAAAAGTCAGGTCATTTTCAGAATATTCTGAACATACCAAGAGCAGCTGCTGAAAACAGTGTTTTTCCATTCATAATTTTGAGCCCTTGAGTTTTTGTAGCGGCAGTGTGCATGTGCTTCGAGTTACCACCCCCTCCGCATTCACATGCAAGTCTTCTCCAGCATGAGCTCTTACCATTTCCTTTGGGTAACCAGTTCTTTCCAGATTCCTTACCCTCTTTGTTCACTCAGACAATGGCCTTTGTAACCAAGAACAAAGTCAGGAGCAGGTGACAGATTATTTTTAATGCTGTCAAGACAAGTGGGTGTTTAATTTATGACATTTTCTCTCAGCTTGCCTTGATTCTTTGTGGATAGGGTGATTCAGAGCTCTCCATTAGAAATCCTCATGCTGTGGGAACACTAAGTCCAAATCTCTTTCACAAGCTGTTCAGTTATCACCCAGGAGCACTGTGTGTGATGGAATAGAATTGCGTCATTGTCAGTTACTTTTGGTAGACCTGTGATTGGGATGTCCTCACCTTCTCTCTCTCCTTCACTCAATCACCAGGTCCTGGTGATTTTAGCTGCTTAATTGCCCCGAGGCCCTCCATGTGTATTCCCATGGGTGTCATCCCAGTCTGGGCGCTGTCATCTTCTAGGTGACTGCTTCAACTCTTTTTTTTTTTTTTTAAAGATGTATTCATTCATTCATTCATTTATTTATTTATACAAGCACTGGATACAGTCAGAAGCGCGGGAGGGTGAGAGAATTCACCAGAGTCAGAGCGGGGAACAGAACAGGCAGACTGATGAAGTATACTGCTGAGGGGAGCAGTGGGCATGGCAGGAGAGGTCTGTCGTGTGGCCAGGGATCGAACCAGCACTGCAGAGGCTGCGGGCAGTTTCACAGCCCAGCGCTCAACTGCTGCGCCACCAGGGGAGGCCTGACTGCTCCAACTCTTGATGTGCTTTTCAAATCTCCAAGGTTGCTACCATCCTATTCTCCATGTGGCAACC